TTGGTCCAATAAAAGTATATACCGTGTTAGGTGCAAAATTCAAAAAAGATTCAATAGATGGTAGAGAAGAAATATCTGATTTAAAAACATTTACCGCAAAAACTGCTGAAATCTTAAATACAACCCCGTTAGATGACTGGTATAATGTTAATGTTAAACAAGTTACTTTGAGAAGAATTGAAGAGTTCCAAGAGAAAGATTCTAATTGGAAACTTGATTCGATTCAAAGATTAGAGGTTAACATTAACAAGTACAACCCTATGCGCGCAAGTTCTTACATTGACTTACCACTTCCAATAAAACGTAAAAAAGCCTGTATTAATGTGCAAAACATAGATAATCAGTGTTTTAAATGGGCAATACTATCAGCTTTATACCCACCTTTGAGAGATGCTGACCGCGTTTCAAAATACAGACAGTATGAAGAAACGCTTAATTTTACTGGAATTAAATTTCCTGTCGCACTTAAAGATATTTCTAAATTTGAGGCTCTGAACAACATTTCAGTAAATGTATACGGTCTTAGCAAAAGAGATAAAAAGTTTACCGTTTCACCTCTACATCTTTCATCTCAAAAAAAGTTTACTCATGTAAATATGTTACTAATTGAAGACCACTACATAGATGAAAATCTTATTGATGATGAAGAGAGGGAGTCTGATAATGTAACTATCATTTCATTCAACTACCATTATGTCTGGATAAAGGACTTATCGAGACTAGTAAGTTCGGATTTATCAAAGCAGAAAAATAAAAAGTACATATGTGATCGCTGTTTACACTATTTTCTTAATGAACAAAAGCTTACAAGCCATGAAGAAAATTGTAGAAAAATGAACGAGACAAGAATTAGGCTACCGGAAGAAGGAAAAAATTTTGTTGAATTTAAAAATTTCCAGAACAAGGAGCGTGTTCCTTTTATTATTTATGCGGATTGTGAGAGTTTATTAATTCCTGCTGATATACCACAAGAGATCAATAATACTGAGGTTTTCCAAAATCATAAAACGCTCAGTATTGGTTACTACTTGAAGTGTGGTTTTGATGACTCATTGTCCATGTACAAAGCATCTCCAATAGATGAGGAGAATCCTGCAAAGTGGTTTTCAAAGGAGTTAAAGAATTTATCAGATAATCTTAATATGAGATTTAAAAACCCTATTCCAATGAAAGTGCTAAGTCGACAAGAACTGGTTGATTTTAGAAATGTAAATACATGTCATATTTGTAGAAAGAAAATCAAGTATGGGGATGTAAAAGTAAGAGACCACTGTCATCTAACAGGGAAGTATCGTGGGCCCGCGCATCAAGAGTGCAACATTAATTATCACGAATCACAGGTTATACCTGTTGTTTTTCATAACCTGAGTGGTTATGACGCGCATTTCATAATTGAATCTATTGCTACGGAATTTGAAGGCAAAGTTGATCTGCTTCCCATAAATAAAGAGAAGTATATCAGTTTTACAAAAAATATTAAGGATAGTGTTATAAAATTTCGCTTTATTGATTCATTTAAATTTATGGCATCATCATTGGACAAATTAGCGTCCTACCTCGATGAATACAAAATTGTAAGTTCAGTATTTTTTAATTACAGCAACGATAAAATTAAATTGTTAACTCGTAAAGGAGTTTTTCCTTACGAATATATTGATTCACGGGAAAAACTTGAAGAGACTCAATTACCACCAAAAGAAAAATTTTATAGTACGTTAAATGATTCAAATGTTTCCGACGAAGATTATGCACATGCGCAGAAAGTGTGGACCGAATTCAATTGTCAAAATCTCGGCGACTACGTGTATTTGTATATGCAAACAGATGTACTGTTACTTGCAGATATTTTCGAAAATTTCCGAAATCAGTGTTTACTCGCATACGGTCTTGATGCAGCGCATTATTATACAACACCAGGTTTAACATGGGATGCTATGTTAAAGTATACGAATATAAAATTGGAACTCCTCACAGACATTGATATGGTGATGTTTGTTGAACGTGGAATTAGAGGTGGAATAAGTCAATGTACCAATCGGTACGCAAAAGCAAATAATCCTTACATGGAAGAATATAATGAAAATGAGGAAACATCTTACATCGTATACTTTGACGCAAATAACTTGTATGGTTGGGCCATGATTCAATCACTTCCATATGGTGGCTTTGAGTGGGAAGAAAATATTGACAATTCTTTTGATTTTAACGTTCCAGATGATGGGCCAATAGGTTACATTTTGGAAGTCGACTTAGATTATCCGGAAGAACTTCATGAAAAACATAGTGATTTTCCGTTTTGTCCTGAACGCTCAAAGCCACCAGGGTCAAAAGAGCCGAAGCTTCTAACTACCCTTCTACCGAAGCGAAAGCATGTTCTCCATTACCGTGCTTTGAAGCAAGCTGTAGCCAACGGCCTAGTATTAATTCAAATTCATCGCGTTTTAAAATTTCAGCAAGCCATGTGGTTAAAAAATTACATTGATTTTAATACAACTCAACGAACTAATGCTAATAATGAGTTTGAAAAAAACTTGTTTAAATTAATGAACAACGCGGTATTTGGCAAAACAATGGAGAACGTGCGAAAACATGTTGATATAAAACTTGTGACAAAGTGGCAGGGTAGATATGGAGCTGAAGCATTCATTGCGAAACCTAATTTCCACAGCAGGGCCATTTTTAACGAGAACTTGGTTGCTGTGGAGCTTAGAAAAATGGAAGTTTTGATGAACAAACCACTTTATGTTGGTTTGACTGTTTTGGATGTGTCAAAAACTTTAATTTACAACTTTCATTACGATTACATGCTAAAAAAGTATGATGGAAAAAATTTAAAACTGTTGTACACCGACACCGATAGCCTTATTTATGAAATCAAATGCTCTAATATTTATAGAGACATGAAAGAAGATATTCACAAATTCGATACTTCGGATTATCCAGTAAATAATGTGTACAATATTCCGCAAGCCAACAAAAAAATTTTAGGACTTATGAAAGATGAGTGCAGCGGGAAAATTGTAACTGAATTTGTTGGCTTGCGGAGTAAAATGTACAGTGTGCGAGTGGAAGATCAAGATTTTATTAAAAAAGCAAAAGGTGTGAAATCCGCAGTTGTAAAGAAAACTATTACCTTTGATGACTACACGTATTGTTTACGAAATGTTAAAATGCAATCGCGAACTCAATATTGTATCAGATCGAAACTTCACAATGTTCAAACTTTAAAACAAACAAAAGTAGCTTTAAGTCCTTACGATGATAAAAGATTTTTGTTAGATAATAGTTCAGATACCCTTGCATGGGGACATTGTAAAATTAGACAAATTAACGATGAAGCTATGGAATTGTAAATAGATGATAATGATGATGATTTGGGAAGATAAAGGTGTTTTAATAAAAGATACTGTACATTTTATATTATGTTTATTTATTAGAACCTTAATCTAGTTACATTTTTAACTTTATTTTAACTATTTTTAACTTTATTTTAACTATTTTTAACTTTTTTTAACTATATTTAACTTTATTTTAACTATATTTAACTTTATTTTAACTATTTTTAACTTATCTTTAACTATTTTTAACTTTTTTTAACTATATTTAACTTTATTTTAACTTATCTTTAACTATTTTTAACTTTATTTTAACTTTATTTTAACTATTTTTATATATATATTACATATCAGATTTTTTTATCCAACTATTGTGTGAGTTGTCAAATCCAAGCCATTTTACATATACATTGTTGCCACGGCTTTTAAGGACTTTCTCGACGAGGTAAACATCTGGATATTTAACTTTTAATAGTTCTTCTTCGTAGAAACCACCTTCGATTGGCTGATTTTCATAATCTGAAAGTTTGTATGTAACTGGTTTTGTTCGTTTTACTTGATCTACAGTGAATATTTCCGTTGTCCAGTTGGGGGTGTATCCTTTTTCAAAGATGTTTTTATGTTTGCTGACTCGAACTCTATCTCCAACTTTAAATTTTTGTCTTCTCATTAGAATTTTTCTTAATTTACGGATACGTCTCATCAGTTCTCTTGTATCTTCTACGGTGACATCTTTAGGTTTCATACCAATCGTACGATGTTTTTTATTATTGTACTTTGATATGAGAATTGGTAAAAGATTAAACCATTTGTAATTGCCTTGTAAGTTGAATTCAGGCCACATCATATTTTTTAGAGTGCGGTTAAACCATTCAACAATTGATGCTTTTAAATTACTATAAGTCGAATAGAGATTAATATTGAATTCTTGCATTAAACTCTGAAATTCAGAGTTATAAAATTCCTTGCCTCTATCAGTGTGTAAATTTTTTGGAATACGACCTTCTTTTAATATTAATTTCATGGCTGAAGAAATATCTTTTCCATTTTTACTTTTTACAGGTACAGCCCAGGCATATTTGGAAAATATGTCTATTACTGTGAGCATGTATTTGAAACCTTTATTGGAATAGGAGTAAGGTATCATTTCTACCAAATCTGCTTGCCAGGTTTCATCTATGCCACGCATTTGAACTTTACGACGAGGATAATTCCTTCTCGCTTGTTTATGCAGTTCAGTTACAACTGTTAACTTTTTATCATTCATCATTTGGAATAAATGTAGTTTCCTTGATAATAATATTTTGTTGTAATTTAATTTGTTTTAGTTTTTCGTTAACTCTATCTTCAACAACTTGTACTAAAATATTCAAATCATCAATGGCTGATCTTAATGAAGATGTAATTTGAAAGATAGTTTTTATCTCGATTCGGATAATTTGTTGTACAAGTCGTAAATTTACTGCATCATGCAGCTCTTCAGCATCTTGAACGTTACAAAGTCTTTTGCCTTCAATATTGTAATCTCCACTTGGAGTAACTTTAAATCCAATACCAGAAGGTCCAGGCAGTCCACGACTTGCAGAGGCAACACGTCGTGTTAAAGAATGTCCGAACACATCAATGCTCATTGTAATACTAAGCACTTCTTCTTTATGCTCTCTCTTAATATATAATTCGAGCTTCACGAAGTTCTTCGATAATTGACATAATCTCATTATTATGACTTGGATTACCAGCTTGCTGTGATCCTATGAGTAGTCGTAAACGGTCAACGAGTTCATTTGGATCATCCCAATAGATGTAGTCTGGATTAAATTGTCTTTTTGCAATCATAAATTGTGGTAATATATTTTTATGCTTCTTTAAAGAACCACCACCACCACTTTTCTTTGGTGTACTTTTGATAAGTTTTGCAATAACATCAGTGTACTTGGAAGTTCTACTTATGTTGACAGATTCACTTGGACTATAATTTTTTCGATGTGCATTCGTAGCAATGAGAATTTCTTTGTAATTTAAAAAATCATCTGAACTTATTAAAGCTTCTTTTGGTTTTTGTTTAAATAATAGTTCGAGTAACCCAGCAGTTTTTAAATAATTTTTCTTTCCAACAAGCTTAATATGTGAACCTTCAAATTCAATAGGTGTATCACCAATCATAAAAGAACCGTTGGCAAGTTTACGTACTCCATAAACCGTATCTAAAAACAGTTTTCTATTTTTATCTAACATAAAAATAAATTTATTTGTAATTTTTTCATAATCTTCTTCTTTTTCAAAGTTATTACTCTTATCAAGAAAAGTTGAATTTAGTAAAGTTTTATCAAATTCTTCATCATCGTCAACAGCAGTTGAAAAAGAGAAATCATTAATATCTTTCTTGAATTTTTCAATTTTAACATTTTTGAAAGGAGTTTCAGTTACATTTGCCAACTTTTGAAGAGGTGTAACTATTGGTTGCAGAGTTTCTTTTAACAATGTCTCTGCAGCCTCTTTACCCATTTTAAGTAAGCGATGTTTTCGTCTAATAGCGTCGCTTGCTTTTGCTATTTGACGCAATGTTTCTTGCTCTTTTCGATACATGTTTTCGTCTTGATAACATAAACTATACTAATTTAAAATGAAATAAAGTCCTTATATTTATAGTGTAATAAAGCAATCAAATCCCTTTCTATATCTTCCCTCATTAAAATTCCTATCTTTATCAATAACGACAAATCCATATTTATCAGATTTCCAACATTCTGAACATAAATCACGAAATTGAGTATAAGACATGTCTGTATTTACATGATCTTCGTAGACATGTTTTAAATTTTTTTCATCTTGTCTAAAAAGCACCAGTAAATTTACATTATCTCGGACTAGATGTTTTGGAATACGAGCATATGTTTGACACAAGTAGAAACTGTCAACATTTACATGTCTACCCATACAAAAGAAAGCTCTAACATTGTCTTGCTTTTCACAAGCAATATCATCAAAGATGAATATTGAGTTTGGTTTAGCATCTTTTGGAGATACTACTTCTTCATGCTCACTAAATGGAAAGTATTCAATTCCATCCACGTCATGAATTACATTTTTCAAAAATTGATATTTTGGCTGCTGCAGAGATTTAGAGTATAGGTAAATATTTTCAAAACTTAAACCATTTGGATGTATAATTAAAGAGAGAAGAGCGTTTGTTTTACCACAATTTGAGGGACCACAAAAGACAGCTCGGATGCTATCTGAAAACAAGCTACCATGACGTTGAATTTTTTTCTCACTACTTTCAACGTCAATACTTGTGATTGGGAGTGCTACAGGTTGTTTCGTGAACTGCATCTTGACAGTAACTGCTCTGTAAACTATAAATACTCGGCTTTTATAGTCTTACAGTCAGTTGCATATCAAACTTCATAGAGTGTAGAATGATTTTACATCGAAGTGATAAAAAACATCTTTGTCGTGGTAGAGGATTAGTTAACCGTATTATCAATAGTTTACCTTTTGAATTACATTTACCTGGATACCAATTCTGTGGACCCGGTACAAAGTTGACAAAAAGATTGGCACGTGGTGATAAAGGTGTTAACCCATTAGACGCTGCATGTAAAGCACATGACATTGCATATTCACAAAATAGAGAAAACATTGAAGCAAGAAACGTTGCAGACCAAGAGCTAGCTGAAAAGGCGTGGCAACGTGTTACAGCTAAGGATTCTAGTATCAGTGAAAAGGCAGCAGCTTTAGCGATATCTGGAACGATGAAAGCTAAATCAACGTTAGGTATGGGAATGAAAAGAAAGAAAAAGTCTTTAATTAGGAAGAAAAAAAGGAAAACCATGTGTAAGAAAAAGCGACTAGCATTAAGAAGAGTTGTTGATGCTGCTAGAAAAAGTATGCTACCCGATCATAATTCTGGAGAATCAATTCAAGCTGCTCTGATTGGTGCAAAAGAAGCAATAAAGAATGCTGGTGGTAAATCAAAAATTTTGTCACCGCGAATTCTACCTGTACCTTCTAAAGTTGGTGGTATTTTACCACTAGTTCCAATTTTTGCTGGACTTAGTGCTTTAGGAGCTCTTGCTGGTGGAGCTTCAGGTATAGTGAAAGCTGTAAATAAGGCTAAAACTGCCAAGGAACAACTTGTTGAAGCTCAACGACATAATAAAGTAATGGAAGCAATATCGCTTGGAAAAGGATTACATCTCAAACCCTACCGACAAGGACTTGGTCTTCATATTAAACCATACATTCAGGGGAAAGGATTAAAAAAGAAGAAGAAACCAACATAAAGGAAGAAAAAAAACTTGTATTGAAGCTACCTCACCGTCCTCTAACTGATTTTGATCTGTTGAAATATGCTAAAACTATGAAAATACCACATTTTCGTGGAGTTTTCATGCGAAATGAACTATCTTTAAAAGGACCTTATCGATATGAGTCAGGAATTATTAACTTAGATAACAAAGAAGGCCCAGGAACACATTGGGTGGCATATAAAAAATGTAATAACGAAATAATGTATTTTGATAGTTTTGGCAACCTTCCTCCACCAACAGATCTAATCATATACTTGGGTGATGGTAGCTTAATAAAATATAATCATGAAAGATATCAGAATTATGATACTTATGTGTGTGGACATTTATGTTTAAAATTTTTATGTAAACAACTTAATGTTAAGAGCAGCTTTAGTCTATATAAGAACGTGTAACTTTGTAATCTTTTAGTATATGAACAACTTAATGTTAAGAGCAGCTTTAGTGTATATAAGAACGTGTAACTTTTGTAATCTTTTAGTATATAAACTGACAGCATCATGAGTGATTCGTTTACTTTAACACTAAGTGGAAACAGTTCAGTTCTTGAATCTGAATATTTCCCACCAATAGAACTTAATCCAAATAAAAATTATGTCCTCGGTCTTGTTGAATTACTGACTTTTAATTCTATTCCCAATATTGATCAAGGTAACAATAAATTTTACATTGGTAATCATATAATTGATATACCAACTGGGAGTTATGAAATCACAGATATTGAAACATGTATAAAAAATTCAGTGAAACTTGGAACTGTTATTAGTATAAAACCTAATAACAATACATTGCGCAGTTTAGTTGAATCAAATTTACCAATTGATTTTAAACATAAAGATTCAATTGGTAAATTATTAGGATTTACACCCCGGAAATTATCACCTAATCAAACGCACATCTCTGATTTACCTGTAGCCATTCTCAAGGTAAATTCAGTCAGAGTTGAGTGTAGTATTACATCTGGAGCATATATAAATAATCAAAAAGCCCACACTATCCATGAATTCTTCCCTAGCGTTCCACCAGGATATAAGATTGTGGAAGTGCCAGCACACGTCATTTACCTTCCGATTGTTGTCAAGACAATACATAATATTCAACTCCGCATTGTCGATCAGGACGGTGATTTGATTAATTTTCGAGGAGAAACTATAACTACCCGATTGCACATAAAGTCAATGTAATGGGAATTGTATATAATCAAAAAGTTGGTGGAAACTATAAAAGTCAGCCAACATGCCAAAGACAAATCAGTTTAAATTTGTCTCACAAGGTGTTAACACCTCAGAATCACCTGTTCCTGAAAAAACTAGGTCTAAAAGTTATACCTCAAGGAAAACGCCAAGACAAATAATTTATATATTTTTTGGGTGTTGTTGCAACAAAAATGGACGAAATTCTCAACATTCCAGCAGCAGTGAATTTTGATGAGTCCATAGCTCATTATGAAATTCATGCTCATCAACCGTATGCTTCATCCTCTTTTAACAATAGTGATGAAATTCGAATTGCAGTTCAACATCAAGATTTATGTATTCTACCGAGTAAAAGTTCATTGCACATATTTGGGAAATTGACTAAAAATGATGGTATTGCTGTTACAGAAAACGTGCACTTAAGTAGCAATGCAATATGTTTTTTATTTGATGAAATTCGCTATGAATTAAATGGTATCGAGATTGATCGATGCAAATACGTTGGACATACAACTATTATGAAAAATTTAGTATCTCTGACTCCACCTCAATTAAATCTAATTGAAAATGCAGGGTTTTCAAAAATTACAGCTGATGCAAGAATTTCTTTAGAAAATGGATACTTTGATATTACAATACCACTTGGCATGATTTTTGGTTTTGCTGAGGATTATAAGAAAATTCTTATGAACGCTAAACATGAACTTATTTTAACAAGAGCACGTAATGACACTAATGCTATAATTCAAACAGGTCAAGGAGCTGATGAAGAATTTAAAATTTTCATCAATAAACTAGAATGGATGGTACCATACGTTTTACCAGCTGATAATAATAAAATAAAATTATTGAAATTTATTGAAAAAGATCCTTTAATTTCAATAAGTTTTCGATCATGGGAAATGTACGAGTATCCGTTACTTCCAACAAGTTCAAAAGTCCTATGGCAAATAAAAACATCAACACAATTGGAGAAACCACGATATGTAATTGTAGGATTTCAAACAGCAAGAAAAGATAAACGAAAAAAATATGCCTGTCATTTTGATCATTGTAACATTACAAATGTTAAACTATTTTTAAATTCACAATATTACCCTTATGGAAATTTAAATCTAAACTTTGATCAAAATCAGTATGCTCTGCTTTATGAAATGTATGCTAATTTTCAAAGTTCTTACTATGGAAAAGACTCAGAACCTATTTTAACAAGGGCTATTTTTAAACAACTATTTCCTCTAATTGTTATTGATTGTTCAAAACAAAATGAGTTTCTTAAACAAGCATCAGTAGATGTACGTTTAGAATTTGAATCAGGAAATAATATGCCGGCTGAGACCACTGCATATTGCCTCATTATTCATGACCGCGTTGTACAATATAAACCAATCAGCGGCGTCGTCAAGAAGCTGCTGTAGAGGAGAGGGGATAAAGTGGAGGGAGTATGATTGAGTATAAATGCAGTAGTTTTCAGCCAAAAAATTCATTTCTGGTTCAACATGGAGTTCATTGTAGACGTCCAAGGATTTAAAAGACCCTACAACGATTTTATTTTCAAAGAGTTGGCAATACTTCCTCTTCAACCAGATGCTCAACCACTTGTCTACCTATTTGAATCACCTTGTACGTGGAATTCATTGCCAGGACGCTATAAAAGTGAAAATCGCTGGTTAACACACAACTACCATGGAATCCATTGGGCAGCTGGAGATGTCTCATATGATGAACTTCGTCCTATTCTACGAGAAATACTTCAAGGCGCTAGCGTAATTTACGTTAAAGGATTAGAAAAGAAAACATGGTTAGAGAAATATGTGTAGAATGTACAAAATTTAGAAGATTTCGAATGTCCTTCTTTAAAAAAACTTAAGACTGATTTGTTAACAATATGTACGCATCATACTCTTTATACTGAAAATTGTGCTGTCAGAAATGTTAAAATTCTTCGCGACTGGTTTTTGGATCCTCCAAACAAATATGTAAGTGCTGCTACAAAAGGCTTTGATGAAGTTGATTCTACTAGTTTTAAATGTTTTTACGAAAATTGTGAATCTTTTTTTTGTAAATAGTTTAATATGTTTTTTCAAATAAAATATTAATAATTTCAATTTAATACTTTGTTCGTTAATTTTTAAAACCTTTAATGTTAATGTTTAATGAAAATAAACTTATATAGGGTGAAGAAAATAATTTTAAAACCAATTTACAATTAAATTTTTTTTTTATTTTTAACAGTTATTTTATATGTATACATTTTGTTTTAACATAACTTTTATTTCTTAAATTAATTTTTTTCTTTTTTTTTCATTTTAATAATTTAAATTCAACGATGTTGTATGGTCCTCCAAGGTACTTCAATTGTAGGTTCTTTAGGGCTGCAGCTTCTTGCATCATTTTTAAAGTGTTAGGCTCATCATCTTCGAAATGTTTAGCGAATCTGGTTGGAAGATATGTGATAAAGTCTGCGTCGAGTTCTACGATGATTCTGGGTCCGTATTTCGTCTGCACCTTTTTGATTTTTGTCACAAAGTATCGGCCATTTGTCACTAATTCCGATAGCGGCTTTGTTGGCAGAAAACCCTCCAATCGTCCAACTGCATTGACTTTTTCTAAATCCATATTTTTTTTTTGTTAAAAAAAGATCTGTAACAGAAAAATAGAAAATATTCTGAAACATTTTTAAAAAAAACATAGAACTGAAACATAAAATTAAAAGAAGAAACCTGAAACATAAAAAGGAAACTGAAAAAAAGAAACTTGAAACATTTTTATGTTTCAAGTTCAACAAAGCTAAAACAAAAACCTGAAACAAAAAAAAATTTAAGAATAAACCTGAAACATAAAGATAGAACTGAAACAGAAAATTGAAAGGAGAAATCTGTAACAGAAAAATAAGCTGAAAGAGAATAAAAAGAAAAACTTGTAACTGAAAAAAAATCAAAGGAAACCTGAAACAAAAAAAAAATTTAAGAAAAAACCTGAAACATAAAAATAGAACTGAAACAGAAAATTAAAAGGAGAAATCTGTAACAGAAAAATAAGCTGAAAGAGAATAAAAAGAAAAACTTGTAACTGAAAAAAAATCAAAGGGAACTGAAACAAAAAAAAATTTAAGAAAAAACCTGAAACATAAAAATAGAACTGAAACAGAAAATTAAAAGGAGAAATCTGTAACAGAAAAATAAGCTGAAAGAAGGAATCCATACTTACTGTTTTAATGTTGCAAATAGTCCCGGAATGCTGAAACATAAATGAGCTGCCTTTCTTTGCACACCGGTTTAAATCACCAAGTCCCCACTTTCTCTTTACCCCCACTTTCTCTTTACCCCCACTTTCTCTTTCCCCCTCTCACAACATGCGCACGCATCATTTGAATGTGACTAGCATGAGGTAATATTTTAAAAAAATATTTAATGATTTTATTTTGTATAAAAAAATATTTAATTATTAAATTTTTTTTTTTTTTTTAATAAGTATTTTAATCAGAATTGTCATGACGTTAAGGTGAAGATTTGCAGGATGTGTCATCGCTTAGAGTGGGTGGTGTTTCTGGAGGAATTAATTCATGTAATTCCGACATCTATAAAAAAAAAATTATAAGTTTTTAGTAAAACAATTTTATAAAAAGTATGTTAATAGTCATGTTTTATTCCAAGAAGTTTACCTCATCTTCACTAATATTAATTTCTAATACGTCACTGTTCGGACTCTCTGGTAGAATCATGCCGTATTCATCCAATATTTGATTAATATCAGGCAAAGATTCGAACATGTTGTATGCATTCAACATTTGATCAATGTCAGGGACGCATTCTAATAATTCTGACAACTATAAAAGAAAAGCCATAAAATTTTTTTTTTATAAGAAAAGAATAATTATAATTTAATCTATTAAAAAAAAGAAAAAAATACCTCTTCTTCACCAAAGTTAATATCAAATATATTAATATCATTATTATTATCATTTGTGTCTTCATCATCGCTGCTAAGAATGATGGTTGAACCCTGACTATCATATATTTCAACCTCATTATCATCGGAGTTCTCATCCGAATCCTCATAAGAATTATAATAATATTCATCAAATATAACATATTCTATGTCCTCTTCCCCGCTACAGAGTTGATTAGAGTTTGGTAAGAAATTTGACATTTTTACTTTGAAACTGCAAAAAAAAAAAAAAAAACATGTTTGAAAAAGCGCCTAGATAAGGAAGAGAAAGGAAACTGAAAATAAAATGTACCGTTCTACTACAGTTTCTACTGCTGCTTCTGATGTTGCTGCAACTGAAAAAGAAATAATGACTCTTCGAGCTCGTGCGCTAACTTTTATGCCTCTTCAACGCTCCCCACTACAGTCACATGACATCCAACACCCTCCGCGGCAAACTGATGAACTAACACTCATTGGCGCGATGTTTTAAAATACGACATAAATTAAATATTTTATTTAAATCAAATTCAATTTTAAGTAAGTTAGGTTACACTTACTTTTACTAGAACAATTTTGTGAATTTCATTTAATTTTAGTTATTTCAGGATAATTTGATATAGCAAAAATTATTTGTACTCACCTTAGATGTGTTTGAAAATTATTTTACCTAATTTACTTTTTCTTTTAATTTAATTTAATGCAATTCGTATTATATAAGAATTTTTACAAAATTAAAACTAAAAAAAGTATATGGAAAACATTTAATTATATGAAGTTCTCGTAAAACACTAAGATGTACGTTAATTTTTAAAAAAATGTAATTTTTATAGAATAAAATCAAAAAAAGTATATCACAAAAAAACAAAAAAGTTCTTCACAAAACTATAAAATAGAACGCTTCAAGTAATTTTTCACTGAAAAAAAAAAATTTTTTTTATTAAAAGTCAAGAAATTTTTTTTCAAGACAATAAACACATACAATATAAAAAAAACAAATAAATTCACTTCGTGCAAGAAATATTTTTTATTTTTAGCAATACTTGCAAAACTTTTTAAAAAATAAACACAAATTATAAAAAATAAAATAAACACAAATTAGAAAAAAATAAAGGCCATACAAAAAAAAAAACTTCACACAAAATAAAAGAAAATTTCACACAAGATAAAAAAAAATAAACACAAATCATAAAAATAAAATAAACACAAATTAGAAAAAAAATAAAGGCCATACAAAAAAAAACTTCACACAAAATAAAAGAAAATTTCACACAAGATAAAAACAAAAAAATAAACACAAATTATAAAAATAAAATAAACACACATTTGAAAAAACAAAAGGCCATACAAAAAAAAACTTCACACAAAATAAAAGAAAATTTCCCACAAGATATAAAAAAATAAACACAAATCATAAAAATAAAATAAACACAAATTAGAAAAAAAATAAAGGCCATACAAAAAAAAGAAAAAAAAAAACTTCACACAAAATAAAAGAAAATTTCACACAAGATAAAAAATTAAACACAAATTATATATAAAAAAATAAAATAAACACATTTAAAAAGAAAACAAAAGGCCATACAAAAAAAACTTCACACAAAATAAAAGAGAATTTCATACAAGATAAAAAAAAACTTTATACAAAAAAAAAAAAAATGAAGGCGATGACAGTAACATCTAATAGATTAACTTTTTCTGGACTTTTTACATGACCTCTTGTCCATTTTTTTCCTTCTTTTTTTATTGCTTAAAGTTGAGCCTGTCGATAAAGATGAATCTGAAGTTGAGCCTGACGATGATGATGAGCCTGACGATGATGATGAGCCTGATGATGAAGATGATCCTGATGATGAAGAGGAGCCTGATGTAGAAGATGAGCTTGACGATGAAAATGGGATTTTTTTCTGATTATCATCATCTTTATCTTCCTCGTTCACGGCCTCGATATTTTCATTTACCTCAGAGGGTGCATCTGAGTCGACGTTTGCAAAATTCTCTGGGTTCTCTTCCGGTTCCGACTCCTCAAATGAATCTTCTTCGGAAAAACTCAAGTTTTGATTTGGAATTTTAGCACTTTTAGTTGGAATAGATGCTGCCTGCAATGGTAGATGTGCTTCTTCACTGTTTATTGGTGGCTGGATTGCAATGAGGTTTGTAGAGGGCAAAATATCCCATCTAGATACTTTGCACCGTTTTTTTGTTTCTTGTTGTCTTCTCTCTTTTAAAATATTTAATTTTAATTGTACATTTCGTACTCGTTCCGCAAGGTCAACCTTGACAACGGATTCGTCTTTCTGCTGACACTAGAAATATCAATTAATTTCATTAATTTAAGTGTGTGTAAATCATGGAAAGTTTTATTCTTATTTTTCTTATATAGGGCAGAGTCGGGTAGCCCCGTCACCTTAACGTTTTCAGGTTATTATATAAAAATAATATAATATATAAAATATAAAAATAATGGATAAATAAGTCAGCGCAACTTTAGTAAATTGACTTGTTTTGAAGGCAAAATTTTTAGACAAGGTTTTTTACTCTTTTAGGGTGACCATTTGTTCAAATAATTTTAAATTTACATTATGAGAACATCTCAAATAAAAAAAAAACAATTTACTATTATCGTAAATATAATAATAATAATAATAATAATTTATTAATTACCGTGTGTGGCCACGGCTACCCCATGGCCATGGTTACCCAACTCTCCCTTATAGAAGCTAATTATTTTTGCATTTGACTTGTGAAAAAATAGTCACAAAAATATTTATTTAGATTAATATGTAAATAAAAAAATATTTTTAAAAATCGTTTACCTTTGGAATTGAAGTCAAAGAAAAATGTGGCACAGGCAGTGTTATTGTTGTTCTTGTTCTTTGCTTTTTTTTTAATCGAGGATCATTTGGATAAACTAGTTGACATGCTTCACAGGAACAATAAACGCTTTCCTTCGGTGGACCTGGTGCATACGACCTTAAATAAAACGGATCTGTCGTTCGGAAAAAACGACAACTCTCGCAATCGCATCCTTTTCTTTGTTCATCAACCTAGAAAATATTTGTTCTTTTTCTTATAACAATATATATAAACATAACATATATATGTACATTAATTTTACACTTACCATCGTTATATCCAGCTGTTTTTCATCAATGGCGGCCATTTGCATTCACGGCCAGAGTAGAGAAGGTTAGTATACTACAGTAAAACCAAGGTTTATGAATTAAGGATGCTTTCAGCAGCTGTCTAACTTCTGATTGGCTGCTCTTATTTTCTCTATTAGAAATAGCCAATCAGCGTGTTTTTAATTAAAATCGATACAAACATTTATATTTAACATTTATATTTAACATTTAATATAAATAGCTTATGATTATTATATGAAAAATTATTATTGTTTAATATACTATAATTATATACTAATACTAATTAGATAAAAATAATTAAAACACATTATTATTATTACCTAGTACCACCATGCCTAAGGACTTTAAGTTGTTTTAAAAAATTACTTAACGCCGATCCATTTCAAATTGACTGTGAAAATAAGTGGTGTCATCTAACCGTGGCAGCCAGTAATAATTGGGAGGGAAATTTAAAAATCCCCTATGCCAAGGAACTTTAAATTATTATTTTTAAAATTACAAAACGCCAAGCCATTTTGAATTGGCCGCGAAAATAAAGTGGCCCCTTCTAATAGTGACGCTGGTAATAATTTTATCGTTAAATTTGGTGGGGAATTTAAAAATCCCCTATGCCAAGGCACTTTAATTTAACCGGTAATAAAAATTATACAAATTCCAAGCAATTTTAAATTGGCTGCCAAAATAAAGTGGTGCCATCTACCGGTGACAATGAGAATTAAGACGGCCGGTATAAAAGAACACAATATTGCAAGGCAGGTAAAAATGGGTGAGAAAAAAATTACCAAATTCGAAGCAATTTTAAATTGGCCGCCAAAAAAAGTGGCGCCATCTAGCGGTGGCAACGAGAATTAAAACGATCGGTAAAGAAGAACACAGTATTGCAACGCAGGTAAAAATGTGTGAGAAAAAAAAATTACCACATTGCAAGCCAGTTTAAATTGGCCGCCAAAATAAAGTGGCGCCATCTAGCGGTGAAAATTAGAACTACACCACATTGCAACGCAGGTAAAAATGTGTGAGAAAAAAAAATTACCACATTGCAAGCCAGTTTAAATTGGCCGCCAAAATAAAGTGGCGCCATCTAGCGGTGAAAATTAGAACTACACCACATTGCAACGCAGGTAAAAAATGTCGGTAAAACAGATTCCTACTTTACCGACCTCGGTCGATAACTGCGCTAGAACCCGTGTTGCTATACTACTCCCTTCTATGTCTATTTTTCCATGAAGTTGGAAATGCAACTTGGCATTTGCCACAAAAAAAACCAAATTTTATTCAATATCCTTGGAGATCAAGTGAGCTTAGGGTGAAAATTCTAATTTCGCGAATAAAAATAGCAGATTCCTTCTATTCAAGCGAGTAATTTGTAAATTTTCCCTTCTACATCTATTTTTCCATGAAGTTGGAAATGCAACTTGGTATTTGCCACCAAAAAAAACGAATTTTATTCAATATCCTTGGCGTTCAAGTGAGCTTAGGGTGAAAATTCCAATTTCGCGAATAAAAATAGCAGATTCCTTCTATTCTAGCGAATAATTTGTAAATTTTCCCTTCTACATCTATTTTTCCATGAAGTTGGAAATGCAACTTGGTATTTGCCACCAAAAAAAACGAATTATATCTTATTTCCATGGAGTTCAATTGAGCTACAGTTGAGAGTTTTTATTTTTTGAATAAAAATAGGAGATTCCTTGTATTCAAGCGAATAATTTGTAAACTTTCCCTTTTATATCTATCTTTCCATAAAGTTAGAAATGCAACTTGGCATTTGCCACAAAAAAAACCAAATTTTATTTAATAACCTAGGCGTTCAAGTGAGCTCAGGGTGAAAATTCCAATTTCGCGAATAAAAATAGCAGATTCCTTCTATTCAAGGGAATAATTTGTAAACTTTCCCTTCTATATCTATTTTTCCATGAAGTTGGAAATGCAACTTGGCATTTGCCACAAAAAAAAACCCGAATTTTATTCAATATCCTTGGAGATCAAGTGAGCTTAGAGTGAAAATTCTAATTTCGCGAATAAAAATAGCAGATTCCTTCTATTCAAGCGAGTAATTTGTAAATTTTCCCTTCTACATCTATTTTTCCATGAAGTTGGAAATGCAACTTGGTATTTGCCACAAAAAAAACCAAATTTTATTCAATATCCTTGGCGTTCAAGTGAGCTCAGGGTGAAAATTCCAATTTCGCGAATAAAAATAGCAGATTCCTTCTATTCAAGCGAATAATTTGTAAACTTTCCCTTCTATGTCTATTTTTCCATGAAGTTGGAAATGCAACTTGGCATTTGCCACCAAAAAAAACGAATTATATCTTATTTCCATGGAGTTCAATTGAGCTACAGTTGAGAATTTTTATTTTTTGAACAAAAATAGGAGATTCCTTCTATTCAAGCGAATAATTTGTAAATTTTCCCTTCTACATCTATTTTTCCATGAAGTTGGAAATGCAACTTGGTATTTGCCACCAAAAAAAACGAATTTTATTCAATATC